GATGGACAAAAATTCGCATAGCGGGTGGAAAAAAGAATTTAGAACAATTCTAACTGCAATTTTGTAGTGAGGATAGATAGTACTTTCGATGATAGCAATATAAAAGAAATCTATTTTTCGAGCCCAGATCGAGTGGCACGCTGTTACAGAGACGCCCTCTTAAGGTCCAAAATTCTTTTTTTTAATATAGAGGGGTTTCTTTTTTTGAATTCCCTCCCTATTGAATTCACAAATTCTGCATCAGTGTTTTCAAAAGTCTCACGTGATCGATGTCAAAATTAGCAATGATGAAATGAATATTACCAAACCGTGATGAATGGCTTATGATCGAAATGGATGTCCCACAAATATTATAGATTATCATGTGGTGAATAACTCGTTCTTGAACGTAATGACTCAAAATAGATACAATAGAATACAATAGAATACAATATATTTCATTTAAATTCTTTTTTACATTTTTAAAATACTAAGCTTCTAATTACATATTAATCGCTTAATTACATTTTTCTTTTCTCATATTTTTGTTATTAGTTGATTTTTTGGAATGTCAGTGTCGAATTTAACATTTAGTTTTCGAGTTAGACACAAGATCGACTTCTAACGAATACTCCACCGTGAGTTGAATGGCTCAGTGCCGAAATGAATGACTCACCGCGAACTGCACTCTGGGTAGTACAAGTTGAGTTCTTTGGGGATCTGGGCTCAACTCTGCCCAGTCTCTACTCCTGCTATTTCACTATTTTCCCGCCAATTTTGTTGTTTCTACGAGAGTGAGGTAAAGATGGCGACAAATAATGCTTCTGATAACAAAGATGGCGAGCTCCAGGATGTTTTAAGAGCCTGTGCTCAAAGTTTATTGACTGTAGTGGCAAGACTTGAGGGTACCGCTCAAAGATCTCAAACAGTATCACCATCTTCTGGTGTTACATCGGCCATTGCCGAGCATCGTCGACTCTTTGGTTATCAGACTCCTACCTCGCGATCGCCTGCAGCAAAGAATGGTGGAAAGCGAAGAATAGTCACCAAAAAGACTGGTCAGCTTTTGGCTGTTCCAATCAAGAACACTTGGACCAGAATTTTTGTATGTCTTGACAAGGTCACTGCCTGCGGAGTGCCGGCGGCATCTAAAAACATTAGACTGAGTTTGGCATGGCTTGGGATGAAGAAAGTGGTTTTTGAGAAAGATGGTAAAGCTAAACATGTAAACGAATGGCTCTTCGAAGAATTTCCTCCTCTGGAACAGGGTAAGGGATTTGAAATATTGAAGACGACCGAGCAGAGCTCAAAAACACTGACACTTGTTCCCGTCCCGCCCTAGGGTTTGACGGTGCCATGCCTCAAAAGGTGTTGGGTCAGGCACGGGGGTTTATTCGCCCAAGCAAGATCTCAAAGCACAGAGTATGACATCAGCTTTCCAGGTATTATAAGTGAGAAAGTTTAACTTTGTTTAAATTTGATCATTTGAAATACAATTGTGTCCTCTCACACACTTTTGCATAAACCCCTCTTTCCCTAAAACATACGCACAAAGATCATGTCCGTTATGTTATTTCTAAGGTTGGAAAAAGAGTAGGTGTTCTAGGGCGACTTAGAAAGAACCTTACTATACATGCAGCATATGAGTTATACAAATCGTTAATTTTGCCCATTTTTGATTACTGTGTTATTGTGTGGTCTTGCTGCAATGAAGCTGATGTAGAAAAGTTAGAATCAATGCAAAGGCGGGCCTCTAGAAAGGTCCAAATCTAGTAATACGTCTGTTAACCAACTTCTCGACAGGCACGAGAAGAAGTGAATTTATACATTTGGGCAGTTCTTCGTTATATGTAGGTATACATGACAATGTTATGTACAGAAAGTTCAACCTGAAAGCCTCACCACACATTAAGTTTGAAGGGGAAGCAAAGATAGATGCTGGTGGGTTAAGTCGCGTGTATGGTTGTCTCTTACAAAAAGCTATTTTTTCAACAAATGGCAATCGTTTTGAAGGCGTTGATGAATGTAAGCTTCCCGCAAAATTGTAGTTGGGGAATGCGAAAGAAACTTTACCTTACCTCTCAGTACCATCCTTATGGATTGCTTTTGCGAGTATCCTGACAGTGACCCGGCTTTCACGGGTTTAACTAGACGAGAAGTACAGTTTGATAGCGGGTGAAACCGTGTCCACTTCCTTATGCCATAACAACCGTCTTCTACAACTATACCGTGAACCGACATTGTACTGAAAATGACTTTATGATAAGGACTGAAGAAGAACCCTACACCATACTTTTTTTGACTTGCGTTTGAAATCTGCAGTTCTGTAGCTTCTATAGGGCCTGGAAATAAAATTCCCCTGGAATGTTTACATCAATGAAAGATTCATTTGTATACTTTCCGTGTGAGTAGATCGCTGATATGTAAACCGGCTCGCATATTGATCGGCCTAGATGTTATTCCATTGGTGTTAATTTAGCATCGTTATCTTAACATTTATTGGTTGATAACACTGCATGAAATAATGGATTCACCATAGGTGCAAATATGAAGTRAATTTCGCGGTCTATATTTGCTTCAAATTCGCGCTCATCGAAAAAGTGACTCAAAAATGATGTTTGATGTGAATTTAAGGAAAAACTGATGCAAATATATATCTTTGCATCATTTTTCGTCATGTTTCATAGCCTTTGCTAATATCATGTTTTTCACAGTTTCACACAACTTTGCTCTAAATTCGCGCTCTTTGAAAAAGTGGCTTAAATATGATATTTGATGTCGATGTGAATTTAATTTAAAACTGATGCAAATATATATCTTTGCATCATGTTTCATAGCTTTTGCCAAGATTATGTTTTTCACAGTTTCACATAACTTTGCCTCAAATTCGCGCTCATCGAAAAAGTGACTCAAAAATGATGTTTGATGTGAATGTGAATTTAAGGAAAAACTGATGCAAATATATATCTTTGCATCATATTTTCGTCATGTTTCATAGCCTTTGCTAGTATCATGTTTTTCAGTTTCACACAACTTTGCTTTAAATTCGCGCTCTTTGAAAAAATGGCTTGAATATGATATTTGATGTCGATGTGAATTTAATGTAAAACTGATGCAAATTGATATCTTTGCATATGTATCCATTATGTTTCGTAACCTTTGCCACACAGCTATACATAACTTCGCTCCAAATTCGCACTTATTTTTTAAAAGAAAAGGAAGAGAATATTATGATATTTGATGTAAATAGTAATGAAAAGCATAATTGATCTAGTATCCCCACCACCACCACCCAAAAAACCACCCAAAGACGTTTTTACGATCTTGTGTGCATAATTATATATTTTAAAACAATTATTCACTGAAGGTGAAGTTATATAATAGGAATATCACAAGACATTTTAGGGACCACAAGCACGTACTGGTGGATATGTTTTCGTTAAAAATCTTACTGAATCTTTYTGCCAAGAGGTTTTAAGCTTCTAAGCCGGCAAAGCATCCTGGTCCGGGTACGTTTGTCCACTGCCCATGGTCCTTTGCGATCGTTTTTATATTGTCCGATCCCRAGTCGACTACAACTAGCACGCGGAGTGTCTTTTTACGAAAATAAATGAATTCCTCTAATGACACGCAAGGTTTGAGACGTTCTGAATTAATAACTGAACGGTAAGTTGATCTATATTTAAAATGGATATCAGAAAATATTATTAAAACATGTAAGCTAACATGCATGCCATACCATGGTATAAAAGATTATGTAACTTATAATATATAGCTTATTCTTTGCACTTCAATGGAATATTTTTGAAAAATATGCTGTTCATATGTATAATCCCCTTTTATATTTTTGTTCATGATTATCTTCAGGTTATCTTTGAAGTTTGAAGAGTTTAAATGCACTGATATCCACCACAAAGATTGTGTTTTTACTGACTTGGTTCGKGACGAGCTAGTTTCTTCGTTTGGTAATGYMAGCTACAATGAACAAGGATTYACAGTAAGTAACGTTTTCAAGCGATCAGTACGAAAACGAAAAGGAAAAGGACGAAAAAGTATATACTGTGGAGTTCGAATAAAGGATACTAGTAAATCAAAACAAGAATTGGAAGACAGAATCGAAGATATCACGAAAGTGCACGAAAGAGAAATCAAAAAAAGGAAATTTGCAGAACATGTTGCTAATAATTACTACGAAGAATGGAAAGCTGAGCGAAAGGCAAAGGACAAAGCTCTTGAAAAACAAGTTTTTATTACCACATCTCATCTCCCAGATTCTTTCTACATAAAGAATGAACTTCTTAATTTTGAATCGAATACTAATAGTATCATTGGCTCTGGTGTTTTTGGAGCATATCTCCAAAGAGGCTGCACTTAAAGCCATATTACATGAAGCCAAAGTAGTGCTCAACTTGAAAAGTCATGAAAGCATTCCTACACTTCTTGGTGTCAGTGTTGATGAGAAGCCATTTAAAATTGTCATGCAGTTTTATGGTATTCAAGGTCAATCCATCTCATTGCTGTCACTATGCAAATGTGATGACAAATTGATGTTAAGTGAGGAACAGTGGCATACTCTTTTATATCGTCTTGCTAAAGCAGTTGATCATGTTCACAACTGTGGTTATATACATAATGACATTAAAACTGACAATGTC